AAAAAAAAAAAAAAAAAAAAAAAAAAAAAGAAGAAAAAAAATAAAATAAAATTTAGATAAAATGTCAAAGCAATGAAACTCGTTCGTAAATTTCGTTCAATCGTATGTAAGAACGTAAACATAAAATGCTCGTAAAACATTGAAGTTTTGAATACCACGGAGAAGAGATACGATGCCGAAGAACATTGGGATTTAAATTTTTAAAATCTTTGGTATCTACGCTAGAAACGGATAGTTGACCCCGAGTGAGCATGATGTTGTGGCAGCATGTACCAGTACATGTATTTTAAGAATCATGTTTTTCTTAAGATGTAGAGAAAAAGTTTATCGCGAATATACGTTAGTTCCTTTTAAACATATTGCTTCATGCTGAGATATTTATTGCCTCTTCTCGATATTTCTTCCCGCTTCCAAGTTTTTCGAAATCTACACCGATTTTAATTTCATCGAACAATTTTCAACGATCGGAGAAAATATTATGTTTGATTTCCTATAATTCATAATTTATATTATAAAAGAAATGAAAACACGAGATTATTTTGTATTTTTAATGTAATTATAATGCGATGAAATCATTTTCAACTAGAAAATATTTTTAAGAACTAATATGTAAATTCTATAAATAGACAAATTCATAATGATATTCATAATGGCATGATGATATAGTGAGTCATCATCATTGTATCATACATGATACAAATCAGCAAAAAATATAAAAATACAGAAATATGTGAATTTCAAGTCAAACGCTGCATTTTATATTATGTATATTATATACGCAGAAAAAGTTTTATGGAAAAAAACTGATACTTTTTTTAATGTATAAGAATTTTTTAAAATGAAAAAAAATATATTTAAAAAATTATATTAATATCTCTGCTACGAATTTCATTTGTATTTATGATATAAGAATTTTGCATAAAAAAATTTTTAAAACATACAATTATACAAATATTGGATGCAATATTCTTGTATAAATGTTATTTCATATGTAGAATGGTCGGAATGAATCATTCATTGAAAATGAATACTTATTTTTAATTTCACAATCATCAATTTATATCTATAGTATTTGTCAAGATAAATATTTTTAATTTAATTACATTTTTTTTTCATATATTTAAAAACACATATAAAATTTTCTATAAAATATTCATGATAACATGAAATCTAATATGATAATAGAAATATATGATAATGAAATAGATGATAATAGAAATCTAATACTTTATAGAAGATATCTGATAACATTTATCAAATGCTTATTTTATTAATAAAGCGTAATTTTACTTACTATCGATGCCTGAATCTAACTGAATTGCTTCAATTATATTCTGTAATTGTTTGATATATAGCGCCGTGTTCTCATCTTTTGAAATATTGCGACGCTGTATGGCACAATTACACAGTGGACAGAGCGCATTTTTATTTTGTATCACTGTTTGAATACATACACGACAGAATCGATGTCCGCAAAGTGTTTTTACCGGATCTGATATTGTTTGTAGACTAAAATACACATAAAAAAAAAAAAGAATAAACAGATTATACATTACATATTATTACATAAACAGATTTCAAATATTATTTGTTAAATATTAAACGCTAAATAATTATCAATAACAAAATAAATCTTATACTGATTGATATTAACTGGATTTATTTATATATATTATAATATATAATTTGAAATAATATATAACAGAAATGCAAGAATCTCAAAGAAAATATACAGATACGTTCTAGATAATTTAACAAAGTTTGCAATAACTTTTGAATTTTTATATTTAAAGTGTAAATTATTTTTGTAGACATTAAAAAATAAAATCAATCAAATGCAAAAATTAAAAAATTACAGGATTTTATTAAATAAAAAAAAAAAAAAGATTGAAATCTATCCAGTTTATATATCATTTAATATTATTTAATTTTATTTTATATAATTTTTATTTATCTCTAACCATTACAGCATATCTCTACTAAAATATCCTGTATAGTATAACACAATTATAACATTGATTATAATTTAATGAGTGACATATATTATTTTATCTTTCTGATAAGAAAGTAAATTTTATATGATATTTCATTTTAATATAAAAATTAAAGATTTGACATTAGTATTCATATGCGAACATATAATACGATCTATAACATTATAAGAGAAATATGAACAAAATGCACAATCATTTTATTTCATTTATTGATCATTTATATTGATTTTATTTATTTATTAATTATAACTTTTCATTGGTGATATAACAAAAGTATACTATATGTGTATTGCTATACACATGATAAAAGATCAATAATAATTAGAAATTGAAGTAAATTTAAAAGTAATAAATTAATTCAAAATTCTTATAACGTTTAAGTTAAAGTTTTTAATTTATATAATTAATAGAAAAATATGCATGATATAAATAAAAATAAGAAATATGATTTATAAAATTAATAAAGTAAATAAATATATGTATTTCATTTGAAGCTGAATAAAATAAATATGATCACTCAAACTTAACCTATACTCATAACTTTTCAAGATAAATTATATTTCAATATAAATTGATGAGAGTCATGTTTTAAATTTATATTTTATTATATATATTTTATAAATCTTTGTACATTAATTATATCTTACCAAATTGTGCATTGTAAACATTTTTGCATATTTCTGATCACTTTTGACAGTTTGTCAGCAACAGAAAACACTTGCTCCATTGTTCTTCACTTTATTATGAATGTCACATTGCGAATATTTATTATAATTCGATTAAATTCACTTTCTAAAACATCATATAAACGCGGGAATTATATTAAACTTTGCACTCACATTTCACCATTGTTACAAACAATCGCAGGATCATCAACAGGTTTTAAAGACTTATTTAACCACGCATTTGAAGTGGCGTTGTGATCGATCAGTCGATATATAAATCTCGTATAATACATTTTATAATTTAAATTTTAAAACAAAAATTTTAAATAATAATTAATAAAAATCATGAAAATATATACAATCTGATGAATTTTATTGTTTAAAAAAATAATATTTTATATTTATTATTGGGCGTTTCCAATGAAATTATAATCTCTGTTTATTTTTTTCATCGACAGAGTGCGCTTTTCAACTAGGTAAACTTCGATACTCGATTTAGGCGGGAAGCCATAGAGTAAGAAGTTGCGTAATTGAACTGGATTGCCGCGGAATCGAATCCTTTCAAATAGTATTTCCATTTAAATTAGTTCGTAGTGATTAAATATCTTTGTGGAATTTGTGCACTCAAATTAATCAGGAATACAATTCTAACGAATCATACGATCAAAGGTATTTTTTCCAAAAATATATCCATAATGAAATTTCCGTTTGTTTTATCTTCTCGTCTTTGATGGACGCCATTATTCTGTCATTTTGAACGTTCGATTAGGATTTTTAATCTAAATGAAATATCTTTTTTCTTTAGAAATCATCATTCAAATGATTAAGACAACATCATCGAGCTCAATCAATAGACAGAAAAGGCGATATTCAGCGTAACATGAGTTTCGCAGAAACAACTTGTTGATGACGTTATGGGGTGGATCTTTCTTGCCAGTACTTTATTCTTCTGCATATGCGGTAAGTCTTGATTACGATTACATTATTACTATAATTTCAACATATAAATTGTAACGTATAAATATTCTATGTGATATTAACGTATAATAAGAAAATATCACGATTTTTGACAAAGTTTATTTTTCGAAGATATTTTTCGAACTATTTTATTTTAACTTTAAAAATAGGTTAATAATAGGTTATGTCTATTTCTTTCGTTATTTTTGCTAGCAACTACTTAATATCTAGATATTGTAAAAAGTTCACAATCGACTTCCTTGAGATAGAAAGTTATTTTCAAAAAATTTAATTTAAGTCAAAGTAAAGTTCTTTCTTCCGGGATTAATTACGTAATCGATTGTGCTGCATTCACGAGATAAGGAATTTGAAGAACAGAATGCATTGAACGTAAAAATTTTGTTATAAAGAAAGATAGGAAAATCGAATTCAAATTTTTCTTACTTCGAGTTTTAATAAAACATATATGATTTATTTTCTTTAATTTTTTTCTTTAATAAATTCTTTACGATTATATAAAAATTTTATATTTTGGTAGAATGCAATTTTTTATTTTAATTTCAACATAAAGAATATATAATAATATAATAAATATAAACGAGAAAGAATAGAATAGTATTAGTAACGTTTCAACGTAATTTTAATAAAAATATTCTATATTAAACTCGTGAAAATACGATATCGCGTTTGATGTATAATATACATCAAAGATTTTCATTTTCGATAGACGAATATCAAGTTATTTTTCTTTCGATATTTTTCGCCATTTTGATACGATAAAATTAATATTTTTGTATGACCATCAACAGGTATGCGTGCCATGAAAATTTCAGTGACAAACGTGCAAAGTTTCGGGTGAAATGAATTTCATTTCTATAACACTGCAAAATAGATATTTCTCTCATTTTTTTAGCATGCAAATAAAACTGGCACTGAGAGATTCTAGAGCCGGGTAAATTTATTTGGGGATTATAGTCCTTATCGATATAACAAATGAAGCATAACGATCTTCTTGCGTAGAAATTCAAAACTTTTCTTTATCGAATAAATTTACCTGGGAGCGAAATCAACTGCTCTTGCAGTGATTAAAGGAGCACGATCCTAT